TAAAAATCGCAATTTTGAGGGCTTGCTATAAACTTGAGCAGAGCTCACGAAAACTAATGAGACCCTCGATGCTACGATAAAGAAATTAGAAAGTAAGCATACACGGACTGAAATAAAGAATATTATACCCAATAGCAGACCAGAGGAGCACAAGAATCAAACCAAAGATTCGACAAAAAACACCCAACTGGAAAAGCAAAATGAAAAAAGAATCCGAAAGTGTGAAGATAGTGTAAGGAGCCTCTGGGACAGCTTCAAGCGGACTAATATCAGAATAATAGGAGTGCCAGAAGATGAGAGACAGCAAGATATTGAAAACCTATTTGAAGAAATAATGGCAGAAAACTTCCCCCACCTGGTGAAAGAAATGGACTTACAGGTCCAAGAAGCGCAGAGAACCCCAAACAAAAGGAATCCAAAGAGGACCACACCAAGACACATCATCATTAAAATGCCAAGAGCAAAAGACAAAGAGAGAATCTTAAAAGCAGCAAGAGAAAGAAACTCAGTTACCTACAAGGGAATACCCATACGACTGTCAGCTGATTTCTCAACAGAAACTTTGCAGGCCAGAAGGGAGTGGCAAGAAATATTCAAAGTGATGAATAGCAAGAACCTACAACCAAGATTACTTTATCCAGCAAAGCTATCATTCAGAATTGAAGGTCAGATAAAGAGCTTCACAGATAAGGAAAAGCTAAAGGAGTTCATCACCGCCAAACCAGTATTATATGAAATGCTGAAAGGTATCCTTTAAGAAGAGGAAGAAGAAGAAAAAGGTAAAGATACAAATTATGAACAACAAATATGCATCTATCAACAAGTGAATCTAAGAATCAAGTGAATAAATAACCTGATGTACAGAATGAACTGGTGATTATAATAGAATCAGGGACATAGAAAGGGAATGGACTGACTATTCTTGGGGGGGAAAGGGGTGTGGGAGATGCGGGAAGAGACTGGACAAAAATCGTGCACCTATGGATGAGGACAGTGGGTGGGGATTGAGGGAGGAGGGTGGGGTGGGAGCTGGAAGGAGGGGAGTTATGGGGGGGAAAAAAGAGGAACAAATGTAATAATCTGAACAATAAAGATTAAAAAAAAAAAGAAAGAAAGAAAGAAAAGAAAATGTGTTTAATGCTTTCCAGAGACTCTATGAAAGCTTATATTTAATGCAAACTGCTAATGAATTACATGTAGATAAGAACTAGTCCCACACCAGGCCCCCCAACCCAGGGTTTTCAGTGCCAGGAAGAAAAGTCCCCATAACTTCTAACTGTAAAAAGCAGTGGAATTGAAGCTGAGGGAGACGGAGAGCTACCGGAGTCCTCTTAAAGGGCCCTCACATGGACTTACTGAGACTCACTCCCTCCGAGTTCCAGTGCTGGGGCAACTCAACTGAAACTGTCAAATTGTGTGTGTGTGTGGGGGGGGGGGGGGGGCCTGGTGTGAACTACTCTGAGAATAAATACTCCAGGGGGATTCACTCCTCAGGAAGCCTATTTTGATCAGTTTTACATCCTGAGTCTCTACCAAATTCTCACCAGAAATAACAGAGAAAAATCCCCTCAAGCTTCCAGCAAGGGGAGGAGAAAAGAAACCATTTTTGAAACATGCTAGACCTTTCTGTAATTCTTAACAAGATCTGCCCTCAGGGAAAACTTATTTAAACAGGGCCTAACTAACCTGGGGAAAGGGAAATAACCAACTCCCACTTTAGCCATCTGTCCTACTTAAAAGGGTTTGGATGGAAATGAGAAGCATGTGTGAAGTTCGCAGTCCAGAGGCACAGGCTAATTAAAAGACTGAAATCTTCTCAGTCGTTTAGGACTATAAAACACTTCTCTTCCCTTCATACCTTATCACCACATTACTAAAAGCCTAGTTATAGCAGTTCCTTTTACCTAGTACATCATGCCCAGCTATCAAGAAAAAATCACAAGACATTAAAAGACAAAAAAACTCAGCTGGAAAAGACAAAGCAAACGTAAGAATCAGACCAGGAATTTAAAACATGGTATGATTAACACGGTAAAGACTTAATGGGTAAGGCAGACAGCATGCCAGAACAGATAAGCAATGTAAGCAGAGAGAAGAAAATTCTAAGAAATGCCAGAGATCAAAAACACTATAGCAGAAATGAGCTAATATTTTAACAGGCTTACCAAAAGACTGAATATAGCTGAGGAAAAAATTTCTATAATCCAGGATATGTAAAATCATATGTCCACTGAAGGACTTGTACAAGAATATCCAGTTTTGTTCATAATAGCCCAAAAGTGGAAACTACCTAAATGCCCATCAACAAAAGAATGGGTAAACATACTGTGGTACACTTTCACAATGGAACACTACTCAGCAATAAAAATGAACTTCTGATACACACAACACAGATAAATCTCACAGACATTAAGTGACTGAAGCGAGACACAACAGAGCATGTATCAGAGGATTCTCTTTATATAGAGTACAGGACCAGGAAAACTATACTACGATGATATAAATCACAACACTGGTTGCCCTGGGTGGAATGGAGGATAGGCTGGAAAGAGGCACCAAGGAACTTCCTGGGGTTGAAGGAAATGTTTTATATCTTCAGTACATAAAGCAGATGACTTGTAATCTACTTATTCTCTTCATGGAAGGGGACAGAACAACATCCCCAGAAAAAAGAATAAAGGCAGGTGACTAGTTTAACCTCCTTGTCAACTAGACCTCTCAAGAAAACAATTTTCTAAGAAGAGACTGTATCTCTGAAATGTCCTTAGCAGGATGTCCCTAGCTAAAGAACTAGTTATAGTGGATAGAACCCAAGATTTATTGATTTCTGAGACAGAGCACCCTGGAGAATGTCACATATGGATTTAAGGGCTAAGGGTTGAATTCAATTATCAATGGACTTAATATGAGGTGGCAGGAGAAAACTTGACTTTGGGTGGTAGGCACACGGTGCGATATACAGATCTTGTAACATAGAAACCCACACCTGAAAACTATATGTTCATGCTGACCAATGTCACCCCAATCAATTTAATAAATATTTTTTAATTACCAATGGTCAATGATTTGACCAATCAGGCCTATGTAATGAAACCTTGATTTTTTTAAAAAACAAAAAAACTCAGGATGAAGTTTTGAGGAACTTCCAGACTGGTGACCAAATCCATGTGCTAGGAAAATGCCAAGCAAGAGACATCCCTATCCCCTACTCCCAACCCCACCTCCACCACCTCCCCGTACCTTCCATCTCTTCCTTTCACTCGGCTATTCAATTCTCTCTCTTTTAGGAATGTTTGAAATTTTCCATTGTTAAAAGTTTTGTTTTATTTAATCCTCACCTGAGGACATGCTTAGAAAAAGGAAGGGAGGGAGGAAGCAGAGGAAGGAGGTGAGGGGAACACCTATGTAAGAGAGAAATACCAATCAGTTGCCTTCTGTATGCGCCCCAAGCAGGGATCAAACCCGCAACCCAGGCATATGCTCTGACAGGAAATAAAACTGGCAACTCTTTGGTCACAGGACAATGATCAACCAGCTGAGTCACGTGAGCTAGGCATAGTTAAAAGTTTTTTAAAAAAAAAACATAAAAGGAAATGTAAATGTGAAAATATTAATCTTTTAAATATCCAATGAAATCCAAAGATGATCAGTTTGGAGTATAAGGAAAAAATTTCATCTATAAACCAATATAAAGTAAGAAGGAGAGAAATAAGAGGGGGGAGAGGAAGGGAAGGAAAGGAAAAGGGACAGAAATTTTAACAAGTAAGAGTAGATGAATATAGAGATCCCAGTTGGTCATTCTTTACCTTAAACCACTGAACATACCATACCTGCAGTTCCTGGGCAGTCTGTTCTACTTTCAATTCTAATGCCTTATAACTTTCGAGAAGAACCTCTTTCTCTGTTTTAAGCTTTTCATTTTCTTCAATCAGTTTCTGGTCCTGCTTAATTTTTGCCAGGCTGACATTAGTCCCTAAATTAAAGTCACCAATAGCCAAACATTCCCTGTTAAAAACAAATTCATTCATTTTAAAAACCAAACTGTGTAAGGCTGACAGAGATCAGAAATCTAAACCAATTTATGTTAGTTTTTTTATACCTTAATATATCTTCAAGTTAATTTTGGAAACTATTCTAAAACTTTACCTAGACCAACACTAAAAAATATCTTAATGCAAATTAGATTTTATAACTAAAATCATACTTCCGAAACAATACTTCCAACTCTCAAAGAAAATATATTCCAACTTTTCACAGCAATATCAACTCCAGCAAATACTGTAAAAAGCACTCTGTATCAGTTTCTTGCAATCCCTCACCATCACCCCCACTCCATTTGACAGTTTCATTCCTAAAGCACTGAGAATATCCCAACAAACAGCTACATCACCTAACATATGGCATCATGACTTGGATCATGATAGAGAAGTATGAATGGCTTGGTACTTATAAACATCAAATGTGGCTTTCCGCTTCAAGTTTATGATTCAAAATTATCTAAAAAGTGAACTGCTTTTGTAATAATCAAGTTCCATCACAGTTTTCACAGGAAGAACAAAGAGCCTCTCTTTTGATTTAAAAATAAAACAAGACAATTCCCTAAAACTCATTAAAATATTTTTAAAGCCACAAGAAAAACTTCAAGGTTTATTTGAAATTCTAGCTTTCCCTGAATAATCCAGATTTAGGGGTAGGTTCTATTTTTGATCAACGTATTCAAGAGAGTCGGTATGCTTATAACCCAGCAATTCGACTTCTAGGTATATATTCAAAGAAACCCAAAACACTAATTTTTTTGTGTGTGTAATTATAATCAGTATTTAATATTATGTAAGCATACTGTACAGAAAAGAAAGAAAAAAAAATACCACTTCATCTAAAAGTCTCTTCTCGGACGCAGACCCTGGAGGGCTGAGTTTGGAGAGGTGGCTTAGTGGACAGTGCTAAGGTGTATGGAGTCTGCTTACTTTTCTCCTCCACGTTTTTCCTTTCACCCCCTTTCAGAGCAGCCCGGGGTAACCAGCCCCTCGCCGGTCTGGCCGGCTGGGAGCATCCCGCCTTCGTGCGCGTCCTCTGCCCAAAGCGCAGACCCAAAACACTAATTTAAAAAAAATATGCACGCCTATGTTCATTGCAGCATTATTTACAATAGCCAGATATGGAAGCAATCCAAGCGCCCATCAATAGAAGAGTGGATTTTAAAAGTTGTGGTACATATGGAATATGTACTTGGTCATAAAAATAGAATATCTTACTATTTGTAATAGCATAGATGAACCTAGAGCAGTGGTTCTCAACCTTCCTAATGCCGCGACCCTTTAATACAGTTCTTCATGTTGTGGTGATCCCCAACCATAAAATTATTTTCGCTGATAACTGTAATTTTGCTACTGTTATGAATCATAATGTAAATATTGATATGCAGGGTGTATTTTCATTGTTACAAATTGAACATAATTAAAGCATAATGATTAATCACAAAAACAATATGTAATTATATATGTGTTTTCTGATGGTCTTAGGTGACCCCTGTGAAAGGGTCATTCGACCCCCAAAGGGGTTGAGACCCACAGGTTGAGAACCGCTGACCTAGAGGGTATTATGCTAAGTGAAAGAAGTCAGTCAGATAAAGAGAAACAATATATGAATTCACTTATATGTGGAATCTAAAGAATAAAATAACTATCTAAACAAACAAAACTAAAACAGGCTCATAGATACAAAGAACAGACTGTTGCCAAAAGGGAGGGGACTTAGGGGACTGGGTAAACAAGGTGAAGGAATTAAGAAGTACAAACTGGTAGTTACAAAATAGTCATGGAGATGTGAAGTACAGCATAGGAAGTATACTCAATAATACTGTAATAACTCTGCATGGTACCAGTAGAAATATCAGGGGGAACACTTTTAAAGTGTATGATTGTCTCTAACCACTATGCTGTACACCTGAAACTAATGCAAAAATGATAAAGAATGTAAACTGTAATCGAAAAATATAAAACAAAAAATAAGAATTTTTAAAAAGGAGTTGGCATGAATAGTTGGTATATGAACTTTGAACAATTCAGTAATGATTTTCTTTCAAAATGGCTTTTAACAAAAGTATTCCTGCCAAAGAGAATAATACATGTTTGAGAAAAACAATTATTATCATTCCTCAAAATCAATGACATAGCTGAGGACTCCAAAAACATAACCATTGACTTCTACTATGACAAGGGCTTCTACCATGAATTAAATATTAGGTAAGACTAAAACCCCACCACAGTCTTACTTTGGAAATGGCACATGATTTCCTACATCACTTTCATCCTTCGAGTCAAGTGTCTGCCTCCCACTTAATCGCCCCTTTGGCCTGCTGAAGGTTGACTGGTTTGATCTATGCCCCCACAGAGGAATGGGGCCTTTGAGGTTCCTGAGAGCAAGCTGACCAGGATCTGGTTTTTGTTCCTCACAGATGTTAGTGCTGGAAGTGAGTTTGCATTTTTCTGCAAATCCTTTCTTAGCCACCTCTTCCCCTATGTCCACAGTGCCATACTCAGCCTGAGCAATAACTGTTCCATCTTGATAGGTTGCTTTAATTCTCATTTTTATTTCCTTTTCAAAAATCAAGCTCCCCAAAAAGGTTCTACCCTAAGAAAGACAGGGGAAAAAAAGGCATAAACCAGCTACACCAACATGTTTTTCTTCACTTGTTTCCACCCAATTTTTCTAATGATCGTATTTTTCATTCTCAAATCTCTATAAAAGTGGTCTTACCTTGTTATGCAAACATACTCCACATGTGCATGAATATATTCTATTTATACACTTGCTGAAGTAGAATACCTGAAGTATAGGCACCCATATTTATATGTTTTTAATGTGTATCAATTAAATATCCTCAAATAATTTTTTTTAACCAATCAGACTGCTGACTATTTTTGCCCCAACTAAATATGGTGGTGCACCTCGGAAACTACAGCACATAAAAATAGATTTTGATACCTAGAAAAGGTGCTAAAATCCAACAAAACGTTGAAAATATTTTAAAGGCAAAACCAGGTACTCTGGTTTTAAACACAAACAAGAAAAGGAGCAAAAAACAGAACTAAGAGTACAAAATATCAACAATTTACTTTAAATCAACAAATTGAAATTACAGAATATGAGATGTTAGAAATTCCTAAATTCAAAACCCTCTTAAACTAAATTTTGTTTAAGGGCATAACACTTGTACAACTAGTATATGAGAAGCCATATGAGTAATTATGTATTTTCTAACTTTTAATTATTAATTATCCATCCTGTGCACTAAGCACAAATATACCTAAAACATATTTTGGAATGGAGGATATTTTGAGATTTAATTTTAATAAGGATCTGCTTATAGCTCAAAAATATTAAAATTCTTAAAATTACTTTGATACACTCTAACCACCAAGACAGAACCCTGAACTTGGAATACAATTTAATTAAATTGTAAGACTACCCCTGAAATTACCAGATATCTTCCAGAATTAGATTACTAACCCAAAATTTAATGGAAATGAATACAAACTAGAATCTAGATTAGCAGAACATCACTAGCAATTACCACATCAAACAGTATGAGCCTCTGCCAAAATGATAAAATTGGATTAATTTACAACTTCACTAATTTCAAATGCCTGATATTTATGACCAGGACTAGGTTAAAGTTCACTTTTACTTATATACTCTCTCAAAAGCCAAAGACAAAATCATTTTCTCCATCGTATATGAGACGCTCCTGTTAAGTTTTCATAACAGAAAAAACTATTCATATTTATTATAGAAATACTAGAGGCCCAGTGCACGCATTTGTGCACCGGTGGGGTCCCTCGGCCTGGACTGCAGGGATCGGGACGAAATCAGCTCTCTGACATCCCCCGAGGGGTCCCAGATTGCAAGAGGGCAGTTCTCAGGTGATGCACCCCAGAATTGGGCTCCCTCCTCTCTGGTTCCAGGTGCGTCACCTGAGAACCACAGCTGCCAAGTCACCGCAGCTTGGCAGCTCCTGCGTTGTGCACCTGCCACCTGGTGGTCATTGCGCGTCATAGCTACCAATTTGACGGTTGGACAGTCGCTTAGGCTTTTATACATATAGATATACACATATATACCACTTTTATCAGAATACCAACAAATTCACCTAGCAAAAGATGAGCACAAACATGTTATTATGTAATTGCTTTTGAATCATTCTATAAATCATATTTTTCCATTATTTATACAAGTTTTTTATATTAAAGAAAATCAGTGAAATTTAACTATACTTATATTTTGTTTTACTTCCATTAACAAAAAATATTTAAAATCTGTGACTTGCCTGATCAAACTGGTTAACTTCTTGGCCAGAAGGAATCTGTAGTCCCCAAAGTCTATACTTTTTGGCAACACTAGAAAATTGCAGATCCAAAGGAATCTCAACTATATCAGATCGATTTAGAATTTCAGTATTTCCATAGTCAATGTATCTCACCAGACACTGGGAGGAAAAAAATGAAACAAATGCTAATAAGGAACTAGATTAAATATCTCAAAGAAACCACCAAAATTTGCTTTCTATTAATTAGCTATAAATCAAGATAGCATTTTTGGCAAACAAGACCTCCAGCAATATCCTCAAAATAAGGAAAATCCATAGTCCAGTGAGAACCCAGTGATTTCTATATTTGGTATCAAACAATACTACTTCCAACAGTACCATTTCTCATTTTGGATTTTTTTTAAACAACTGTTATTAAGTAAATATAAATCTATGAAGCTTATGGCCCTATCCTACCTGGAATGTTAAAATCAATCAACATTCTTAAATTCAAGCTGAAAAGACAGACAGCCGAAACCAGTTTGGCTCAGTGGATAGAGCATCGGCCTGCGGACTGAAGGGTCCCGGGTTCGATTCCGGTCAGGGGCATGTACCTGGGTTGCGGGCACACCCCCAGTAGATGTGCAGGAGGCAGCTGATCGATGTTTCTCTCTCGTCGATGTTTCTAACTCTCTATCTCTCTCCCTTCCTCTCTGTAAAAAATCAATAAAATATATTTTTTAAAAAAAAAGACAAAGTTACCCAACTTTCTGTAAAATTAAACCCACTCCAGCTATTAGACCTTGAAAATGAAGCAAATTCACCTTTACCTCCAGTTCTATATCTGTTTAAAAAGAAAAATACATTATCACAAGGTCAAAGGCCATCTTGCTTCTTAATTTAAAAAGTTAAAGCCAAATCAAAAGCAAATGCAAAATATCAACTACAGTTGTCAAATTATGGAGAAAAGCGCTATTAGAAAGGTCTATTTCATAAGATAAATCATTATCTTTGACAGTAATAAAATGTGAGATTTTTAAAAATATATTTGAAACACTACTCAACTTGTTTCATCTTAGCATCTCCTTGTTACAACAAGAAAAATATTTATAAAATATACATATTATAAAATACTTTAAATCCAGGAAAACCACCACTGAAAAAAACAATAAAGGAAAGCCCACAGAGATGCATTTACACAGCTTGCAAAGTGCACTTTATAAGTAAAATAAATAGCTAAACACAAAGAAAATTCATCACATTTAACAAAAACAGGAGAAAGCTTCAAGCCAATCTTCATTAACAATATGCACATGAACTAAGTTAAAAGATAAACATAACTTCAGGACCAATAAAATGTTATTTTACTACTTAATCCTAATAGAATGAACTTTTCAAAGCTGCTCAGCAAAAATCAAACATAATTATTAAGAACTGAGATACACTCAAAAAATCAAAAATTATTTAATCTATTCTTGGACAATCTGGACAACATAAATTCAGAGGAATAGTCCTGAATCTGACCTGGATTTTTTTAAGCAATTCATTTCTTTCATATTCACTAGGTAAAAAAAAAAAAAAAAAAAAATTCATGTTTTAATCAATTTATAAGCTCCCTGAACCAGATCTTATTACCACTATGAATAAGCAATAAGGGTTAAATAAGCATCAGATTTTAGAACCAGAATAAATATTCCTCAGGGAGGAAAAAAATGAACATTTATTCCTGCCTTTTCATCACTGATGAGTTTCAGTATTTTGCATCTGTACCAACATTTATCTTCAGAAAATAATCCACCATAAATCTACAAAGAGAAAAAGAAAGTACAATTATTTGGAATTTTAATTAATCAAAGCATGTTAAGTAGATTAAAATAGTGGTTACCACTTAACTACATGTCGATAAGTACTTTATTTATACCTTATTTTATTCTTACCACAACCTGAACAGGCAGGAACTATGTTTCACCATTATACAGCTAAAGTCATAAGCGAGTTACCAGCAGAACCAGGATTCAAACTTAAGATATATGACTACAGAGTCCATTATGCTATTCTGCCTTTCAAAAAAAAGGGGGTGGGATTGGGGAGAAAGGGAAAGATAAAAAACAGACAATTGAAAAAGGCGGCACAAATTAGTGTTTTCATATTCTTTGGAGATAAATGCACCATGTTCATTGCAGCATTATTTACAAGAGCCAATAAATGGAAACAACCTAAGTATCCACTGATATATGAACAGATAAGGAAGATATGGTACATATATATATACAATGGAATATTACTAAACCATAAAAAATGAAATCTTGCTATTTGCCAACAACATGGATGAACCTAGAGGGTATTATGCCAAATGAAATAAGTCAGACAGCCTGGCCACTATGGCTCAGTGGTTGAGCACTGACCCATGAACCAGGAAGTCACAGTTCGATTCCCAGTCAGGGCACATGCCCAGATTGTAGGCTCGATCTCCACTAAGGGGCATACAGGAGGCAGCCAATCGATGATTCTCATCGTTGATATTTTTCCCTGTTTCCCTCTCTCTAAAACCAATAAAAAACATATTTAACAAAGAAACAAGCCGAAACCGGTTTGGCTCAGTGGATAGAGCGTCGGCCTGCAGACTGAAAGGTCCCAGGTTTGATTCCAGTCAAGGGCATGTACCTTGGTTGCGGGCATATCCCCAGTAGGAGATGTGCAGGAGGCAGCTGATCGATGTTTCTCTCTCATCGATGTTTCTAACTCTCTATCTCTCTCCCTTCCTCTCTGTAAAAAATCAATAAAATATATATATAAAAAAAAAGAAACAAAATGTCAGACAGAGTAGGACAAATACCTATAATTTCGCTTATATGTGAAATCTAAAAATCCAAGCAAACCAACCAGAAACAGACTCATAGATACAGAGAACAAACTGATAGTTGCAGGGGTCAGGGAATGGGCAAAAAGGATGAAGGGAGCTAAGAGGTACAAACTTCCAGTTATAAAATAAATAAATCATGGGGATGTAATGTACAGCATAGGAAATATAGTCAATAATATCATAAATTTATACAGTGACAGATGGTTACTAGACTTAATGGTGATCACTTCATAAGCAATATAAACGTTAAATGTCTATGTTGTACATCTGAAAATAATACTGATCATATGTCAACTATACTTTAGTAAAAAACAAACCACAAGCATCAAACACTTGAAATTATGCTGTTTTAATATATGAAGACATAACTGACACAACCAATTGCTCTTTAAACATAAATATTCCAAGCACGTGCCACTTATGTCTAATTCTTAATTATGGTGGGATCCATATGTCGTACCAGCCAAGAATGGTTTTTATACTTTTTATTTTGTATGTACTAGAGGCCCAGTGCACTGATTCGTGCACCAGTGGGGTTCCTCGGCCTGGCCTGCGCCCTTTCGCAATCCAGGACCCCTCCGGGGATGTTGGATAGTCGGTTTCGGTCCGATCCAGACAGGAGGGAGCCCGATCCCCGCAGGCCTGATCCAGACAGGAGGGAGCCCATTCCCCGCAGGCCCGATCCAGACAGGAGGGAGCCCGATCCTGTGCATCAGTCGTTCAATCACTTAGGCTTTTATATACATAGACTAGAGGCCCGATGCACGAAAATTTGTACAAAAGTAGGCCTTCCTTCCCCCAGCTGCCAGCACTGGCCTCCCTCCGGCACGTGGGACTGGGGCTTCCCTCTGGCCGCCAGCAGGCACCCAGGACCCGGGCTTCGTTCCGGCCCTGGCTTTCATCCTCAAGGATGTCCGGAATGACGTCCGGTCTAATTAGCATATTACCCTTTTATTATTATAGATAAGAAGTTTAGAGCTATTGAGTAGATAAAATTAAATCAAATAATATCCTTAACACCAAACTTTCATTTATTTTAAATTAGTGTTTTAATTATCCTCCTATAAAATAAAAGGGTAATATGCAAATCAACCAAATGGCGGAATAAACCGGTCACTATGACAAGCACTGATCACCAGGGGCAGACGCTCAATTCAGGAGCTGCCCCCTGGTCAGTGCACTCCCACAGGGGGAGCACCACTCAGCCACAAGTTGGGCTGAGAGCTGGCGAGCACAGCGGCTGGCCTCCGTAGCAGCACTAAGGATTTCTGACTGATGGCTTAGGCCCGCTGTGGACCTAAGCCATCAGTCGAACATCCACCAAGGGCTCCCGGACTGTAAAAGAGCACAGGCCGGGCTGAGGAACCACGCCCCCCCCCAACCCAGTGCACCAATGTCATGCACCAGGCCTCTAGTATTTAATAAAAGAACAAAGAGAAAAATTTACATATTTTAAGTCAACTTCTCAACTCAGCACCACTGACATTTGAGACGGGATAATTCTTTGCAGGGTGGGGGCAGGGGAGTGTTGGCTGTCCTGTCCATTGCAGGATGTTTAACAACATCCCCCTGGCCTCTACCTACAAGATACTAGTAACACCCCCTCAGTTGTGACAACCTAAAAGGTCTCCAGATACTGCCCAATGTCTCCTGGAAATGAAGAATACAAAATCACTCCAGGTTGAAAACCACTTCAAATCATTCATTCTCAATGGGGAAATTACCTCCAAGGAAGTTAAAACTGGTTCTTGGGGTATGGAAAGGCATCATAGATATTACAATGGTTTGTAGCCCTCCAAAGTTCAACCCTACCTGACAACATAAACAGCTATACAGTATATCTGTGATGTTCAAATGTCTTAGAGGAAGGAGAACCATTAAGAGGGAAAAATGCTTTAGAAGGGCATAATGAAAAAAAGGTTGAGTGACAGAGTAAGATTAACTTTAAGCGTATCACTCTGAACTAGGACAAATTCACAGATTTTAAAGCAAAAGGAATCCACCATGTGAAACTTAAAATTCTTAATTCCACAAGGCAACAAAGTATAAGTCAATTCAGACACATGACTATCTACCAAAGCAAAAACTACAAAAAATAGGTGTGTTCAATTAGCACTTGACTGTGGTTCCCTCAACTAACATTCAACTAGAGGGCAAGAGAGGGCACGCATGGCATGGTACCCTCTCCCAACTATCTCACTTCATTTTCCAACAAGCAAACAGGCTTAGTAGCAAAAATAGTTGATAATCTACAGTCCTATTCAATTTCAAACTCTACAAAAGGTCACATTATCTTAAGACTTTGTAATCTATATATATATAAAACCCTAATATGAAAATAGACCAAACGGTGGAACCGAACAACCAATCGCTATGACATGCACTGACCACCAGGGGGCGCACGCGAAATATGGCGGGTGTCGACCACGGCAGGATGGTGGAGCAGGTGAGCAGGGGCGCCAGACCAAAGTGGGGTGCTGGTTGCTGTCACTGGGGCAAGCCTCTGGTGGTTACTGAAAATTCTTTGCTCCCCCATGCCACGGTCCTACCTGGCGCTCACACCTGCTGCCAGCACTGGCCCCCCTCACACCCGCTGCCAGCACTGGAGCTGCTGCTCGCACCTGCTGCTGGCGCTCAGCACCAGCCCCAATTGCTGATCACCCTTGAGGGCTTCTCCACCTCCCCCTGCTCCTGAGAGGCAATCGGGGCAGCAGCTGCCGGTCTCATCCGCTGCTGGCGCCAGCCCCAATTGCAGTCAGCAGGTGCGAATGGGGCCAGTACCCTCAGCACATGGGAGCAGTAGCTAAGAGAGCTGGGCTGCCGGCAGACAAGGGACTGGGGGCTGCGGCAGGAGGGGCCGGTGGAGGTGCAGAGGATGGGCCGAGACCCACCCCTGTGCCCACTGCAGCCTCATGGCCCACAGTTCTTTTCAAGGTGCACAAATTCGTCCACTGGACCCCTAGTTATACTAATAAACAATTGGATATAAGGCAGGTGACAGAAATGGTATGTCACTGCAACCCAGTCTAGGTAAAGGTGGGAACCCTTTGTATCCAGAAATAGAGCTGGGACCCAACCAAATTTAGGAACCTGAGGTTATCATCATTAATACAAGTCTATCCCAAACAGATTTATTTGTCTTTAAACATAGTCCCACTGTGCCCGGTTCCAAGCTTCTCTCCAACTCAACTATTCATAGCTCATGACCTGCTTACATAGTGAGAAAGAGAGAGCCACTCAATCACTATAAAAAATTTACAAAGTATAATCCATTTATGGATAATCAGGGATGACTGAGTAATCATTTATAAGTCTATTATTGAAGTTTGTTTAAATTTTTTGTTAAGCAAGTAGTTGATTTTGCATTCAACAGAAAAGCAGCTGTGTCTTAATTTTTAACACTATCAAACATAGTCAGACTATAAGGATGCTTAAAAAAAAAACTAAAACTTTACAAATTGCATTTCCTTCTCCATTCTGATGCTCAACTCCAAGCTACATTGTTTCCTTCCTTCTAAATTTCTTCTTTTCGCACATTTTTATATATGCCATTGGGGTTTAATAATTTTAAAATAAAACTACAGAGGCACATTATTAGAAGAAAATCAAAGTATATTGAAAAGGGTAAAGAATAAGACTTCCTTCCCAACACTCTTCAACATGAGCCTCTTGAAAGTAATTTTACTTTTACACTAATGCTCCATATACACTAGGATATACATTTATACATTTTTTTACACAAATGGGCTAATTTTACATACGCTATTTTGCATCTAATTCCATATTAAAATACAGACATCTACCTCTCATTTAACTAAGCAAGGCACCCAGCACACAAAATTTAAAGAGGCACTCACTCTGAGGTACCATCTCTGTACTTGCATAAGTGCCTCCTTAAATTTCACACAAGGACTCTATTTTGTTCACCAATGTATACCCAATGCTTAACGCAGTGCCTGGCACACAGCAGATAGTCCATAAGTATTTTGAAAGAAAAAACTTACTATGACTACAGTTTATACATATTCTAAAATTTTGCCTCTCCCTTTCAAATATATCAAAATTTTCAAAAACTATAAAAATTAAGATATAGGAAAGATTAACATGACAGCTGGGGTAATTATATCCAAGAATATGACTCACCTTCTTTAGATCAAGATTCCCAAAAACTGAATTGGCATGAGGACAAACTTCAGACAGTGAGCAACCAATCTTCATAATATCCTCATTTCTACTGATACTCTAGAAGAATAGATATAGTACGATTCAGTAAAATATTATTTGATAGTGTTATCCAATTAAGGGTTCTACTAAGCATAATACTTAGAAGATTTTGGAGCATTGGAAATTAAATCAAATTCTTATGTCAGTATTTTTTCATGATTCAAATAAGTTCTTTATAAAAAACGGGACTAGGCTATAGAAAATGTTTACTTCCCAATGAGTTCAAATTACTTGGAATTCAAACCAAGATACCAAATATTATTAATATGAAGAGGTAACTTTAAACAATTATCTCTAGATTTTACTTTAAATCAAACTTTAATTGCTCAAGGTGGATAGCATATTTTGGTCTAATGACTTAAGTCTTCTCACATATTTGTTGTGTAAAGGAAACATGCAAATATAATTTCAAAATGTATACATTCCCCTGTACACAAATACTGTAATCTAGTTAGTAAATTCATTTCTTACAGAGTCTTGGGATAACAGTTTGAAACTAGGTATATACTAGGATTGAACAAATAAGTAAATATATTGTAAATAATGAGAGCAGGAAGAAATTACAAATAAAGAAGGCTAAATAAACCTACAGCATTAGACTAGAACTGGAAGGTATCAGAATGAACTCATAATATACATGTTATTTATGTATGTGTGTGCATTATGTTTGTATATATTGTGCATATATGAAAGAGAGACACAGAGATAAAGAGAAATATAGATGTGTATATGAGTAAGTGGGTTCTTATACATATAATTACTAGAGGCCCAATGCACGAAAATTCATGCAAGAGTAGGCCTTCCTTCCCCCAGCTGCCAGCACCAGCTTCCCTCTGGCACCCAGGACCCAAGCTGGCTTCCCCCGGGCCGCCTGCAGGCACCAGGGACCCGGGCTGGCTTCCCTCCGCCCTGGCTTTGCCAGGAAGGACATCCAGAAGACATCTGGAAAACATCTAGTCTAATTAGCATATTACCCTTTTATTATTATAGATATCTTTTCTAGCTCTGTCTGCTGAGAGGGCCTAGATAGAAGCAATGACACTCCAGTAGCAATAAGGACATTTTGATTTCTAAACACCATTCTCCAATAAAAGGAACCAGTGTTCCTTGGAGAGAGGTTGATTCCAGGGCTGGAAAAGGGAAATAAAAAGATGATCCTGTAATATCTGGTGGGGCCAGAAAGTAAAGAAATGCTTTTAAAAAAAAAAAGAATGGGTACATATTTAAAGGATGCAATAGCCAATGAATGTGAAAAATCTCCTAATGGCTGAAGCTGCAACAAATTCAATTATAAAATAAATTAAATATAGTATTGGATTATATTCCATGGACTATATAAATACCCACTGTCCATATTAATATAAATCATCAAATAAATGGAGAACAGACAACTCTTCCTTACAGAATTCCAAATAATAAATGTAGGAGGAATGAGGGAAATAGAAAATCATCATTTGGTAAGCACCATACTAATAAATAATAAAATTTGTGGGTGCAACATTGAAGAGAAACAAGATTAGTCTCAATGCAGCTCCCTCTAAAATATTTATTAACTGCAAAAGGAAAAATAGTAACTTTACAGTGAAAAAACTTAGCAGATACAACCATAACCAAATGGATCGAGGTGACTATCATCAATAATGAGATATAGCAACATCATGAATTCCCAATATGATGCACTGAACAGGACACAACTTCACTTCTGCAATATTACTACCAATTTAAGAGAAGCCATGTGTCTGCTAAATTTTAAATTATTCATATTGTTCATATATTTCTACTGGTTAGCACTGGTTTAGAAAATCTTAAACTAATAAATGTTGTTCCTATATAGTGAGCTTAAACATAATTTATCATTCAACCAGAGACATTGTTGAGAATGACACAGATGCTATTAATACAAAGGGCATAGAACCGGAACATGTGGACACTTAAGAAAATGCAGAGACAAATCTACCACAAGTTTTCTATGAATAGCACCCTTCTCCAATATGTTTTCTATACAGACTTAAGAACTCTGGGTTAATCAGATTCTTCTATAACTTTTCTTCTCATAAATTCTATTTCCCACATTACCAATTCACTCCACTCACACAAAAAAAGGACTTCTCATGCTATAGAAAGTACAGATAAATGTCGTTCCCTTCCCTTCATGTGTAGTTCACAAAATTAAAAGTGAGTACTTATGTTCATTAGAGGGATTCACCATCTTAAATTCAGGAACACGTGCACTGTGGTGCCTGGCTTTTTATTTAAACCTGAACAAATGGATCTGACTTGAAGCCTTACTAGTACTTCATTACTGCTTCCAATTTTGCAATGAGAAAGGTATTGTAACTCAAATTCAAAATTAAGACATTAGAAAAAAAAAGATTATCTTTCAAGAAACAATCTTATAAAATATCGCTAGATGGAGCTGTAACTTCACAAATAAAAATTCCTCCGCATCTCCAGTAACTTATGCAGCCTAGGTCACTGGTGTTAAATTCAATGTAATTCTGAACCATGATTACACTCATTTGTTTATACTTAGTATATTATGAACATTCAACTCAGAACGCAGGTATTAAGCTCCAGCTGTAGCCATTTGTCTTCTAATAATGCCTTGTGTTAAACGATTGTCAATAAAAATTAGAAACTGAGAATGACAATGATATATATATTGTGAGATTTTTATTTTTGTTTTTGTTGGGGAGGACCTGTGTTAGTGGAGGAAGGATGGGAAAGAAAATCAACCAGGCTGCTATTTACCTGGGCCCAAAATGTTACTGCATCTTCCACATGACTTCCAACCACATCTTCAACTAAAACCAAATCACAATGCGAAGAAAATTAGAAATTAATCAAGATCATCTAACTTTTACATCCAAAAATAATTTTTAGTGTCAGTACCTTTATTGTAATGTATATCTTCATCCATTTGGACAATTCCTGAAAAACTAAAACAATGCAATATCTTGAATTAGGTTCTAAGAATCTGTCCATTAGCAGTGAAAAAAAAAGACTAAACCTAATGTTCAAATTCCAACAAATGTTTTGCACTAAATAAAGTTATCAAAATTCAACTCTATATTTAAAAGACCTCAAAAATATTTGTTCAATAATTATTTGTTTTTAGTATATTGTATTTTCCAATTACACCATCTACAAACGCCATCTTTGAAATTCTCTCTTTAGCCAAACTTTTACAAATTTACACCAAAGTGGACAATTTGTGCACATTGTGATCAGTTACATAAATCAATACTTCATAGCAATGTGCATATTCTTTTAAACTAATTGATGTCCTCCCAAAACAAGAGCAGGCCTTCTGTAATTTAAACAAGAAGAAACACTACAAATATATAGAGAACAAATGCCTCAGACTGGTAATCAATTTTATTTAAAAGGTACAGTGGCTTCTGCTTTTGAAGATACGTTGCAATTAGAGACTTGCAAAAAGAATCAAATTTTGCCCATTACTTCAAAAACAATTTTCAGCCCTGGCCGGGTGGCTCAATTTGTTGAAGCATCGGCTTGTACACCAAAAGGCTGAGGGTTCGATCCCTGGTCAGGGCGCTTACAGGAGGCAACCCACCCATGTTTCTCTCCTCTCTTCCCCCGCACCCCCTTCCTCCCTAAAATCAATAAAGACATCCTTGGGTGAGAATTAAAATAATATTTTTTATTACATAACAAACTTTTCCAACTGCAAAATATTTCAAAATAAATACCTACTACTTTATAATTTTACCCTTAATACACTAGGATATTGCACTTTGCATGCATAAATGTTAGTCCTTTAAAGAAAACTGAAAATATGTATTTAAGAGATTTTAAAGGTATCTAAGAACATCACTATGCCAAAGTTTAAAATGTTCTCTGAACGAGAAAGAGATAAAAGTTAACTCTGTCTGGGGAGAGAGGGAGAGGGGGGAAGGTCAAAAAAATTTTTTTTATTCTCCTAATTTTTGTTACAGCTTTAGGAACTTTTTTTTTCACATACACTAAGCAGCATCAAAAACATTTTCAAAACAAGGATCCTTCCTCTAATATTGTTCAACAGGTAATTTTTTAATTGAGCAAAAATATAAAACCAAGCTGGAGTCATTGTAAGAACACCAGTGACTTCAATTTAATAAAAATTAAAATGTTGGCTTTGGAAATCCCACCAGACAACTAAGAATCATTTCAAATCGCAGTTTAAGGCGGGGGGGGGGGGTTAAACGACTTTCTGCAAACTGGGTTACCAAACTGGCACTCCCAGATGCCAGTTCAGGGCGATGATTGAGTGAGTCCAGGTGGCTCCTCGAAGCCTATCTCGAGAGATTTCCAGTTTAATGCACAGAGAGAGAATCCACCGTCTTCACCGAGACCCTCGGCGAGAAGTATCTGCAAGTGCTTCGAGTCTGGCCGGGGCCTGGGGCCGCCCCTCGCAAGCAGGCCGCGGCCCGAGGGCGAGGGCGAGGGAGGACAGGAGATGGACCTCGCCCTCTCGGAGGCCTAACCCAGCACCCAGGGGCCGCACTGCGGTCCCTGGAAGCGACCCCCGGCACACCTACCCCAAGGACGACTACTGACCTCACACTTTCCGCCGCACAATCCCTAGGAGCGTGTTCCCAGCCCCACATGCTGGGCCCGCAGCCCTCTCCCGCCACCACGGCTCACCGTCCGCCTGCCCCGTGGCGCACGCGCAGACTTACCGCGCGAGCCTCGGCCGCTGGGGCTCCAAGTGGCGCCTGCGCACACCGCCCTGCGCCATCTCGTTCCCGCTGCTCTCACGCTCACGTGCTCACGTGGCCGCTGAGGCCTGGGCATGCAGGGCACGCTGGGCGGGGCCACGCACGCACGCACGCACGCACGCGGACGTGGGGGGGCGGGGCCTCGCACCTGCGGGTAAAGGCAGGTTCCTTTCTCCAGGCGTCGAAGACTGTGAAGCAGTGGCGTGAATTTTGTGCTCTTTCCTAATTTGTTAGCGCCGATTCCAATTTTAAAACAGCGAAATTAGAAAAATGCCAACATTCGTTTTACAAGAGGGAAAGGAAAAAAATGGCCTTGGTGCATGAAAATGTTTTCAGATTCGTAGCTTCACAAGCATTTCTCGGCCCAGCCTCTATTTCTCTGTGTTGCGGCTTTTTCCACCGCTTCAAGGGGTGGGGGGGTGCGGGGGCGGAAGGGAAGGGAAGTAATTAATATAGAGTTTAGGTGTCTGGTTATGTACACATAATACAGTTTGTGGCAAACCTTGCACAACAGTTAAAATTATCTCCATTAATTTAATTCCTTGATTGAGGTATAATTAACAATAAGCTGCAGGTATTGAAAATGCACAATGTGATGAAACCTAACGTGTATACACTCAGTGGTTCTCAACCTTCCTAATGCCGAGACCCTTTAATACAGTTCCTCATGTTGTGGTGACCCCCAACCATAAAGTTATTTTCGTTGCTACTTCATAACTGTAATTTTGCTACTGTTATGAATCGTAATGTAAATATCTTTTATGCAGGATGTATTTTCAGGGGGCGAGACCCACATCGTCCCCATAATCAAGATGATAGTCATTTCATTTACCCCAAAATGTTTACTCTCCTCTTTGGCTCTCCTACCTACCCCAAGCGGCAGGCATGAGTTTGCATCTTCTGCAATTCTATGTTAATGAAATCATACAGTACGTACGTTTTCTCTGGTTTCTTTCATTCAGCATAATTTTCTTGAGAGTCATCTATTTTGTCATCTGTATGAGTAGTTTGTTTCTACTCATTGCTAAGTACTATTCCATTGAATGATTATAATACAATTTATCTACTTTTGAGACATTTGGATTGTTTCTAGTTTGGGATTGTTTCAAATAAAGTTGCTATGGACAATCAGGTGCAAGTATTTGTATGGGCAAATGTTTCCATTCCTGTTGGGTTGATATATGAGTAGAAAAGTAGGGTCGTATAGTTGAGTGTGTTTAACTTCTTAGGAAACTGCTAGGCTGTTTTACAAAGTAGTTTTACTATTCTATAGCCCCACCAACAGTGTTCAAGAGTTGTAGTTGCTCTATACCTCACTATTTTTTATGATCAGTATTTTTAAGTTTAGACATTTTATGTATAGTGGTATCTTTTTGTGCTTTTAATTGAATTTCTCTATTGACTAAAAATATTGAGTATCTTTTATTTTCTATTTATATAGCTTCTTAGGTAAAGTGTCTGTTCAAAATTTTTCCTTTTTTTTTTGTTGTTGTTGTTTTCTTGTTGAGTGTTGCAGTTCTTTATATACACTGGATACAACTTTCAGATTTGCAAAGATTTTCTCCCAGTTTGTGACTTTTCATTCTCTAAAAGAGGGTATTTCAAAGAGCCTTTGATGAAGTACAATTTATCATTTTTGTCTTCATGGATCATGCTTTTGTCTTATTTCTAAGAAGACTCTGGCTAACCCAGAATACAAAAGGTTTCTCCCATATTTTCTAGAAGTTTTACATGTTTAGGTTTTACATTTAGACTTAAAATCTTTTTTGACTTGACTTTTATATAAGATGCAAAGCATTATTTCTTTATATATGAATATCCACGTCATTCTCTCCTAGAAAGCCCTATATTCCACCCCTTGATCCAACACCCTCGAGATCTACCCCTAGACATATTTCCTGCCAATACATTTTAACCAGGATCTGCAATTCATTCACATTGTAATCTATCCTATAAGCAGGCGTGGGGAACCTTTTTTTTCTGCCAATGGCCATTTGGATATTTATCACATCATTTGTGGGCCATACAAAATTATCACTTTAAAAATTAGCCTGCTACATTTGGTCAAACATTTAATTAACTCACCCCTGCCTTGGCACAGCCAGACCAAATGATTTCTCGGGTCTCATACAGCCTGGGAGCTGGACATTCCCTCCCCGTCCTATAGGAAGGACTGAATTTCCCCACCTAGGGTATGCTGAGACCTGGTCCTAGTTATCAGTTTGAAGTCAATGAGAGGTGGCAGGGGTGGCTGTGGAGGAAGACAAGTGTCACCTTACAATGCAAATGCCTTAAAGTCTTTGCAGGCTCTCCAGGCAAGCACAGGCTGCTCTCCTCTAGCGAAAGAGGAGAAGCTGCTTCGGCCAATTCAAAAGTTCAAGAAAACCCAAGGGTTCAAGATCAGGCTCACCAACACCAATGTCCCCATCCCATGATTCCGGGTGGCAGTCTAATCCTGGCAGCATGCGGCCTTGGCTGGAGGGGATGACTGAGGCTGTGCATCGTTTCCTTCGCAGCCTTGGCACTTTACTACTAACTGTGGGCCAGTTGTCAGTGCAGATCGTCTGCACCTGCAGGAGATGAGACAGCCTTTCCGTAAAGCAGTGGTTCTCAACCTTGGCTGCACATTAGAATCCCCTGGGAATCTTTTTAAAATCCTGATTTCTGGGCCTCCTCCTCCGGAAATTCTGTTTCTTTGTTATGGGGTGGGGCCACAGCATTAGTAACAAAGAAACAATTTCCGGAGGATGAGGCCCAGAAATCAGGATTTTAAAAAGATTCCCAGGTAATTCTAATGTGCCACCAAGGTTGAGAACCACTGCCGTAAAGGGTGCCATTGAGGCACTCTGGCATTGACGGCAGGCCTTGAGGTAAGCGGCCAACATGAACCTGTGTCATTTTCCTTGTTCAGGGTTTCTAAAGCAGTCAGCAATAGCTCACAAACATCTCCATCTTTATCATGTCCACCAGTCCTATTCCACTGTAATGCCACAGCTACTGTATAGCCTAACATGTTACCTTCCACCTGCACTTCACCCAAATCCACTACGGTAACTGTGATACTTCGTGCCAGGCATTATCAGTGTCCCACTTACCAACACCTGTGGGGTCTTTATTGTCATCTGTCCAGTGAAGGATCCGGTCACAGAACCCCATCCTGAAGTTAAGTGTGTTCCTGGTACCCCTCTTAGCCTGGTTTAACCCCACCGCCCCAACCCAACGCAAAGCCTAAGACAAATGTTAATACATACAGGTAATTTATTTGGAAAGTGATCTTAGAGAACCTGTTTGTACACATATTCCCAAGAAAAAGCCCCAAGTCTGAAAGGGCAGGGAAAGACCAAAGAAAGAGGCAGGCCACTGGAGTCCGGCAATTAGCAGAGTTTATTCAGGGAAACTTACATACCAGGCATGTCTTGGTGTGGGCGGCTGCAAAAGGAAGTGGATATCCTCCAGGCACCAAAGAATTATACAGAAAAGGGCGAGATGGAGGGGGTACGGGTATGTCATCGGTCCCAGGTGCGGGAAAAATGCCGTACATACTTGCCAGGTCAGGACAATGGCCTTTCCAGGAACCAGCACAACATGGGACACAGCAGAGGCTCTGGTTTACGTCAGAAGGAAAGTACCGATTATGATCAGACAATCTCTGAGAGGGCTTGCGGGAAGCACTCTGTTCTGGCCCAGGTCCATCTTGTGGGTCACATCATGGAACAGCCTCCCCTCCACAGAACCAAGGGAAGGAATCAGGGAGTGGAAAGGGGGGAAAGAGAAAGCTAAAATAAGGATACACCCAAATAGTGGGTGACTGGGGAAGCTTATGAAAGGCTTCTCAGAATTGCCTTCCCAGCAGACAGACAGACGAGGGAGTGTTTATCCACTGGCTTCCCCCTGGGGGTTACTCAAGGGTGGTCCCAATGTCATTAACTCCCCCATATCTTTTACACATGTATGATGCAAAGGGTTCCAGTGCGTATCCCAAGCCAGTGTCAAAGGATCCCTGGAGAGTCATGACATGGTCCCAATACAGAAGCCTGCTTGGAAGTGTTTCACAGCAGTACTGAGGAGGAGGTAGGGCTAAGAGATTTGAAGTGGACACAAGGGGTGTCAATACAGTTACATGCAAGGCATAGTTAACAAAACAACTTAAAAATCAGGAGATACTGCTAGAAAATGATTATATAATTTTGAAATAGCTTTTTATTAAAAATGTAAATCAACATTACAAAGTTTAAAAAAACAAAAAACTGATCATTTTAACTTACTATTTTGAAACAGTGGCCCTATATATTTGTTCAAAAACCTCAACAACAATGTGCGAGAGAAACATTGATCAGCTGCCTCCTGTGTGCACCCCGACCAGGGATCCAAATGCAGCCTGGGCATGTGCCCTGCCTGGGAATGGAATTGGTGACGTTTCGGTCCACAGGATGACGCTCAACCAACTGAGCCACACCAGCCAAGGCCAGCTTTAATTTTTAGATACATAGTTTGAAAAAGTTAAATTATGATAGACTAAAGATATTTACTATTCTTTTGACTAATAGGAAAATAGCCTCATTTGTTCGGAGAGATAAAAAAGTATAGATAAAATAGTAAATCATAAAATTTGATAAAAGTAATATACCAGGTAAGGTAATTTCACTTATTTAAATCAAGAAGACATCCAAAAAGGCCTTTTATATACTAACAGAAGTAAACAATTTAAGAGACAATAAACTATATTATATTTAAATAAACACCAAAAAAAGATACATTTGGATGATGGTTTTAATTTCCCCAATAATCTTCATGAAGGTTTTGTTTTTGATGGCACTGGTGCTTTTCCTTTATGCTTAGCAGCCTTTTCCATTTTTATCTGTAAATGTAAAATATTTGTTAATAATTTTTAAAACATTCTAAAGAAAGAAAAGGTTGCACATACTTCACTTGGATTCATGTTTTATTTGCCACAGCCACTTCACACAGTTACATAGCAGTTACTAATGAATACCAATGCCAAAATCTGAGAGTTGAAGGGACCTAATTGCATTTTAAAAATATGGTCTGAATTCAACTTTACAGAAGCATTTTCATAAAAAGAATGTATAATGAGTACTTCTTTGGAGAAAATGAATAAATATCATTTTAAAGGCCATTCAATATTATTTTCTAAAAGCTGAAATACCTAACCTTCCATCAGCCTAAACACATTCACTTACAGGGTTACAGAACACACCTAAGCCAGCAGGGTTATTTCTGGAATGCGGACTGCTTTAAGGGTAGTTTCCTATCATTCTCGTTTCTACATTTGCACAGTTCCCTTCCTAAAGGTTGTCCTTCTCCACGGAAACTGCAGCAAAGCAGCTTGCATACCCTAAGCAGCAGCCTTCCGACCTTTTAGAAACATATAACCCTTTCCACAGGGGAAACAACAACAGAGAACACAAAACCCACCTGCCTCTTACTGCCACTCACACACCGATTCCCAGAGGCAGCACCACTGCCTCACTCTGGGCAAGAGAAGGCTGAGAAAATGTGGGGCAAGGCAGCTGCAGGCAGGGCCTCCTACCCTCTAAGGCAGTGGTCGGCAAACTGCGGCCCCTTGAGTGTGGCTCTTCCACAAAATACCACGAGCGGGCGCGCACGGACAGTGCGATTGAAACTTCGTGGCCACACTCAAGGGGCCAAAGAGCCGCATGTGGCTCGTGAGCCGCAGTTTGCCGACCACTGCTCTAAGGCAGCGGTTCTCAACCTGTGGGTCTCGACCCCTTTGGCGGTCGAACGACCCTTTCACAGGGGTCGCCTAAGACCATCCTGCATATCAGATATTTATATTGCGATTCATAACAGTAGCAAACTTACAGTTATGAAGTAGCAATGAAAATAATTTTATGGTTGGGTCACAACATGAGGAACTGTGTTTTAAGGGCCAGAAGGTTGAGAACCACTGCTAAAGTGACAGGAAATAATATCAGGAAACCAGGCTTCCCAATCTCATCAAATTATAAGTGATAACTTCCTAATAATAAAATTGAATGAATCTCATCTCTGTCTCCTCCCCATTTTTCCTGCTCGCTCCTGTTTAAGTTGGCTGGGCACCTCATTCAGAGACCATACACTCATATCACTCTTGCACACTGTCAGTCAGCAGGTCATCTGAAGGCCCCAAAGGAACACCCTATTCTAAGGCAAAGATGATAGGCTTTGGAGTCAGAGGGAAGAGTACTCAAACCCCCCCTCTGTCGTTTATTAACTATTTGAGGCAAGTTATTTAACCAATAGTTTTGTGAAAAAAAGGTCATAGTAATAGGTACATCTCAGGGTTGTTCTAAAGGTGTAAGTAAGATCGTATGTATAAAGATCAACATACTTAATACGCACTCAACCAATACTGGTCTCTTTTCCTCTCTCATTTAGGCCAAGTGTTAGATTTACAGCAACATTGAAAATTAGGAAAGATGCTAAAAAAACAAAAGTTAAGGAAGTGTTTGCTCATTGAAATACAGACACACCTCGTTTTATTGTGCTTATCTTTATTGCACTTCACAGATGTTGCTTTTTTTTTTAACAAAATGAAGGCAAGACCTCCACCAGCAAAAAGATTACTGCTCACTTTATTGCGATACTCAGTTTATTGTGGAGGGCTGGAAAACCAAGCCCACAATAGCTCCCTCCCAGGTAGGTCTGTACATGCAGAGCATTACTTTGTAAGTGCTCTGAACCCATCAGATTCCGATTCCTAATCCCCCCTTTTCCCTCAATGGTGCATGTCTTGGTTTTTTGGAATAACAGAAGAGTACTAACAATGTGTACAGCACATGTCAGCTCAGAAGTTGTTTAAGTCTGAGCTTCTCCGTTTTTATACTCTATTAATCAGACAGGCTGGAGAGTTTATAAGCTGTATCTCATAAATCCATAAATCACACAAGGCAGAGAATTATAAACTACATCTCATAAATCCATAAATTCTAGGTCTAGATATAACAAGCAGTCTGGATGGTTATAATAAGCATCCTGGGTGGGCCAGGTATATCCTCCAAAACATTCACAGATAAGAACTCCCCTCCATTATCTTCCCACAAGCAAATCCCACTGGCATGTTTTCAAGGCAGCCCACACTACCTGGACTTCTGGAGGAGGGAAGGGAGTAGTTCTGGAACCCTGTCCCTCATAAGCCTTTGAGGAAAAACTAAAATTCAGCCGTTAATGTGCATGTTCCAAGAATAGAGCTTGACTTGATTAAAAATTTATCCCTAATGATGTCGCAAAAATCACCTTTCCTTTTGTCACTCTGAACATGTCATCTTCCTCCTGGGTTCCTACTACCCCCTTTTTCCCTTAAAGCAGAGCTTTCCCTTAGACCTGTCCAGGAAGGTAGCCACTAGCCCCATGTGGCTAGAAATGTGGCTAGTGTGACTGAGGAAGTAGTTTAATTTATTTAATTTAGACTTACAGAGTCACGGCTACAACACAGATACAGAACATTCCCATCACTGTGGAAACTTCCATTTTCTAACTCTGCCTTAAATCATACGAGGACTCTCCCCGCTACTTCAAAATTCTTCATCAGGAAAACAAGCTTATCTCTGTCCCCTACTCACTTCCTCTTCTCTTGGAAGGTAATTTATATAATAGTCTTTTTCTTCATCTTTTTGTCTAAGAGTTGTGGAGGATAGGACAAAAGGTGACAAGAGTGTCTTTTCTTTCATGGCACTTATTACCTAGTTGGAGAAATTAAAAATGCCAACAAGGCAACTATAAAATCATCCTAAAGAAAGCACTTCAGGGAATGTGCCATATAACTGGATAACACCCCCCAAACCTCATTAAGCCAACATCCTTTCATCCATCCATAAACAAAAAAACAAAAATCTCAAATACGAACACCGCATGAAACACATCAAATGTGTAATCAGATGACATATAAGAAAGGAATATCAATGATGTTTTTTTTTTCCATAAATGTTTATTGAAAACATATTATGTACAAGTCGCTGTACTTAGTTCTGATGAATAAAAGACTACACTTAGCCCTGAGGAGTTTACAGTGTGGTGGAGAACTGAACACTATCATTACTGAAATCTAGGAACACTTTAATACTGTAGTTGTTGAGCCCTAGAAGATGTTAAAATACATGTATGATTAGTGTTCTGTTTCTTAAAGGCTATTGAATAATTTTAACTTCAGTATGGATATACCTAGAAGTCGCTAAGAAGAACTACCACATATTATGAATTCAAGACACATATAATTTACAAATCTGCTGATGGTAGATTGTTATTACTGACAATTTTATTTGTATATTTAGTCAATCTTAATGAGCTCCATAAATTAACCAGTGTATTATCATATTACTCATCAATACTGTTTCTCTCTGAATTGTTCTAAATAAGCCCCATGGCCTAACACCACCTATAAGTAAAGACTTCATAAATTATTTTTCAGGACAATCCACAATCAATATTTAATTGTCCTATGGTGTCTCTGTTACAAGTAAATGCTTAACGTAAGCAGATTTCTCCACAGACTTACCTTTTCCTGGTATCGTCTTTCAAAGAAAGCCATATCATCCTCCTCAGGTCTCCTTAAGGAAGAAACTTGACTACTTGTACCTACTAATAAGAAAATAAACAATTCTAAGTAATATAGTTCCATAATTATAAATTTTCCTGAAATAAAAACAGAAATAAAACTTTCCTCCTACCTGATGATTTTTTTTATTTTTCAAACCAGAAATGGCCTAAATGGAGAATTGCTCCTACTACTTAATTCCTTTTTAGAAAGCAGAGCATCATAACACAAAAGTAACTTTCACTGACAAACATTCTGCAAATATTCAATGGGTTCATATTAAATAGCACAATATAGCTATTTTATATAAGAGCACTAGTGTATGTGCTGAAAGAAACTTTTAATTGCCTCAGAAGGAAAATCTGGTTTTCTTTATAGGTACACCAAGAGCCCAGTTCCATGGAAAAGTTCACCTTCATTTCAGGTGAATGTCTTGGTTGGATCCCTTCACATCCAAAATAGAGTATCAATCTGAACACCTGTTCTCGTTTTTAAAATACATGAATGTACCCTCAACCAGCAACACAAGAATCATGTAATTCCCGATAATCACCACAGAGTATAACCACACACTGTCAACCTAAAGGATCAAGGCAATTAGTCCATCAGAGGGCTCTCTTACTCAGACATCAAAGCAATAACTTACCGGAATAAGGTTTTAAAACTTCAAATTATTGTATTATCAGAATCCTCCTAATTCTCAGATTTAGCAATTTTCCCCAATAAAAAATAAAGTTTCTTGCTTTTTCTCACTGCCTGGCTATTATAAAATAAAATGATAATCAAATTGTGGATACTGGGGGCAAAGAGAGCTTACCAATGATTCTATCTGAATTCTTATTTTCTACATCCAAACATATTTCTCAATTTAATTTCATTACCATCTGTTAGTGTTTCTGGAGAAGTAGATGATGCTTGAAATGCCTTTAGAAATGGATGGTCCATGGCCGTACCTGGAGAGTCTAAAAATTCAGCTGAAGGTGCACCTGATAACAAAGTACATGAAAAATGAAAACTAAACCTCTATTTGTTATGATTCAAAGAAGTTATTTCAAATGTGAAATAAATTAGAACCTATCAGAATCATTAGAAGAATCTAGTCTGGCCCGGCTGGCATGGCTCAGTGGTTGAATAGCAACCTATGAACCAGGAGGTCACAGTTCGATTCCCAGTCAGGGTACATGCCCAGGTTGCAGGCTCAATCCCCAGTTTGGGGCGTGCAGGAGGCAGCTGATCAATGATTCTCCCTCATCATTGTTGTTTCTATCTCTCTCTCCCTCTCCCTTCCTCTCTGAAATCAATAAAAATATATATTTTTTAAAAATCTATTCTATAAAAAGGAAATTTTTGTTTTAGATTTTTACCATCCATATAAAGTAAGGGAAGAAGGGTAAAAGTATTTTTATTTCTCAGAGACCTTTTCACAGAAAAAAAATATAGATATGCACAAATGTGACTGAATGTCAGCAAAGAGTGCAAAATGTTAACATAGTTATAAAAACTATCAAAAGCAAGATTTTGATAAAGAAACTCTAGTTTAAGGGGGAAGAATAAGTGTGTTTTTACTCTATCCCTCACTCAAAAAACAACTACAAACAGTATTTTAAAAAAATAAACCTTCTTCAATCAAATGAGGAAACATCACAACCCAAAACCACACCCTACAAAGACCAACTGCTAAATAATTGACTTTTGAGGAAGGAAGTGCAGAGAAAAATGTATGCATAAGTGCTCTATCTTCTTCACAAACCTCACCTCCCCCACACCCCTATCTCCATCCTGCGGTAGAGGGACAGAAAATACACTTTCAGTCCTATTTGGTTTTACAAGTTAGTCCGTCCTTATAACGAAGCAGTGTGGGGCAGCTGCTCAGTCTTTCAGATTCCTGCCCCTCCTTCCACACTCCTCTACCCTGTGGCGGGTGCGAGTGTAGGAAGGGGTGCTCAGGTCCAGCCAGGCCCTTGTGCCTTCCTCTGGTTGCTGCGTGCACTACAGACCTCAACCGGCGAGGCTGACCTAAGTGGCAATTCAGCCTCTCAGCTTGGTAGGGCCTGGTAGCCTCATTCTTACTCTCACTAGGAGTGCAGGCCCCTCGATGCCTGCCACTTCCTCTACTGAATCCCCCAGAGCTCAGGGGACCCACCCCTAGCTCCGCCCTGGGGTCACCCTTGCCCCTTGCTATAACAGAGACCGTGGCAGGCCCCGGGCCGCACAGCTCAGTTACGAGCTGGGAATTCTGGACTCCCTCTGCAACACTGAGGAACCAAATTCCAGCAAGGGGTCATCTCTGTCCAGGACTCTACGTGGCTAACCGAGCAGACATCCCTTTACCCCGGATCCCCTATATCTGAAGTCCAGACAAAAATATTTTATGTTTCCTCTCCTCACTCTCACCTTTCTTCCCCTCACCTTCCCTCAAGGGCCAAAAGGGGCACGTTTTCTTTTTTTATATAATAAAAATGTTTAAATGATAAAATACTAGAAAAAAGATATCAGCCACTACCTCTACTACTTAGTATCGTTCTAAAAGTACCAGACATTTTGGTTAGTCAGAGTAAGAGGACTCCTAAATGTTGGAAGGAGGAGGCAAAAATACCATTACTTGCAAAATTAGCTGAACACTTATTTAAAACTCTAAGATTAAGTAGAGTAATGATGACTAGTAACAAAAGCAGCATAAAACATTTGCTTTTGAAATAGACAACAATGAGGCAGACTAAGGTGCCCAGAACAACCTGGGTTGAACCAACCCTACCACTTACTAGCTGAGTAGCACAGAACAAGACGTTTTACTCCTGTGCTGAGTTTCCTCACCTGTAAAATGGGATTAGTAATAGCACCCAACTCAGAGCTGTGAGGATTAAATGAGGTAACAGATGTAAAGAGGTTGGAACAACCCCTGGTCATCATCAACCTCATTATAATTGATTATTTTTTGCCGGCGGTAACTGTGTATTCTGTAATCATTGCATGTACCTAATAGAATCAGGTACCCATAAATATTGAAAAAGGACTCATTTACGAAATTTAACAAGCTACTTGTAAAACTAGTTACTAGAGAAGCACAAATGTATCAGGGCAATCTTGAAAAAAATAAAGAAACAAATGGGAGGAATTTACCATACCAAATATCAAAACATACTATGAAGAATAACAATTAGCCCTGACCGGTGTGGCTTGGTTGGAGCGTCATCTCATATACCAAAAGGTTGCGGGTTCTGTACATACACATACATGCCTGTGAGCATGCATTATTATAGATGTGATTACACGCCTATACATGCATGTGCATATTCACACATAGACATAAGCCTATGTTTCCAAAATGAGATGGCTATAATGGTAAAAATTGCATACAATAAAATAATAAACTATCATATCAAATAAAGGAAATATTATTTACTATTCAGCTATTACAAACAATGTGGTTATGGGTTGGGATTTAGGTACAAATATTGGGGAAAAGAATGATCTTTTCTCTTGTGCTTTCTAAATTTTCTGTAATAACCATCTATTGTGTAGTGGCAATTAAACCTTTTTTTAAAAATAAAAATAAGAGAATGTTTTCTGGGGGAAGAAAAACATGAAGGATATAAAGTGCTAAACAAACATAAGGCTTCACTATTGTCCACACATAAAAACAATATAACAAGCTCACACTTGTGCATCACTTACCAATTCCACTGTCATCTAACCGCATGTAGCCTTCTGCTAGTGAGCTGAAGCCGGTTAATCCTCCCATTGCCGCGTAAGGAGCATCCCGTCCCACTGGTTTTCCTTGAGCCAGTCTCTCTTGCTTAGTTTCCACGACTGTGTCATGGGCATACGCAGGCTGACCACAAGCACAAGTGAAGCAACTATGGAATCCTGAACACTTGGAACCTGAATCAAGGTGTAAAGGGGGTTAAGTTCTTAAATGTAGGGACTGAGCTGCCTGCTCCAAAAATGCTCAGCTTGGCCTAAGCACCTGAATCTGGATTCCTCATGTGCTGTCCTCTAACCCTGGTAACTATTATCTCCAGACCTGGAACTCCCTCCCAGCCACTGCTCTTACTTCTAAAAGATTCTAAAGCAGTCATGGATACTAGCAGGGGGGAAAATAGGGAAAACCAATGAGGACTAAAAGAAATTGGGCTGAACACTGGAGAGCCAGGAAATGCAGGCCCTTTCCTCAAATACTGAGTTAAAAGCAGGTGTGGTGGGGACAACCAGTGGCCAGGTCCAGGTGAAGAGATGTGAAAGCCTCTCTATGGGTCAACTCCCCACGAAAGCCATATTGGAAGGCCAACACATAGACAAAGAAAGGATGCAACAGAATCCTGTTAAACATAAAAAGGAAGAAGGCCCTGGACGGATGGCTCAGATAGCTGAGTATCGTCCCATACACCAAAAAGGTTGTGGGTCCGACTCCCAATCAGGACACGTACCCAGGTTTCGGGTTCGATCCTCAGTCAGGGTGTGTGCGAGAGGCAATTTTAAAATAAAATAAAATAAAATTTATAGTAGCTACCCATCAAAATGTTTGTTTCATACTGACAATAAAACTGGCACAAAGACACATTAAATATTCAATAAAAACATTCTGTTGGTGTATTTGTAATAATGTCACTCACAGGCATTGCACATAAAGCCAGGCGTGGCACTGTGCTGATCAGCAAAGTGTTTGCACCTGCAGCGAATGGGCTGCGTGCCATTCAAAGGCACATAAAGGTAAGCCCTGCACTGGCAGCCGGTCACTCGGCAAGGCAAGCTAATGGGGCGCTGCTGTGGAACCGTTTCAAAGTCGGTTTTATGCTGTTTGTACCTAAAAAAGGGGGGGGGGAGGATAAAAACACAGTGCAGGTAATGTCAGAAATCACTATTTCTATTCTGTTAAATGCAAATGATTCTTTTTCATTTTATTTTTGTTTCATCATTCTTTTTGGTAAGGTGAAAATAAAATCCCCTACTTGCAGTATTTCTGGAAGCTATATTACTTTGATCAGAGAAACCTTCATTCTTAGATTTTTATTTTTAGTAATCACAGCAATATACAAGAAATATTATAAATATTACTAGAGGCCCGATGCACGAAGATTCGTGCAAGAATGGGCCTTCCTTCCCCTGGCTGCCAGCACCGCCTTCGCTCCAGCCAGAGTGGCCTTTCTGCCTTCCCACGCTATTCAGAGGCCCAGAGTGGCTGGGGTGCCTCGGTGCCTGTGTATGCAAATTAACCCACCATCTTTGTTGGGTTAATTTGCATACTCACTCCTGATTGGCTGGTGGGCGTCACAAAGGTATGGTCAATTTGCATCTTTCTCTTTTATTAGTGTAGATATGATTCCCTTAAAGTACATACCACTACAGATTTTTTTAAATGAAAGCACAACCTAAGAGTATGGGAGGCCGCCCATACTCTTATAAATAAATTCTTTATAAAAATCCTTTTTATTAAAGTGCATTACTTCAATTTATTTTTATAGGTTAAAATACTAAGTAATTTTCTTAAATAGACTACGCCCTTCCTTCTCATAAGGTGGTATTCAGTAAAATGATATTAAATTTATTATTCTCAATATTAATCTAGGTAATAGAAGTTAAAAGAACAAGATGCCATTTTTCACTTAGCAAAGAGAGCCAAAGCTTTTTTTAAACTACACATAATTTACAATGCTGCCAAGAGTGTTACAAAAGAAACAGTCCACCCTAGCCGGTTTGGCTCAGTAGACAGAGTGTTGGCCTGCGGACCAAAAGGTCCCGGGTTCAATTCTGGTCAAGGGCACATACCTCGGTTGCAGGCTCCTCCCTGGCCTGGGCCCTGGTCAGAGTGCAGTGGAGGAAGCAACCAATCAATGTGTTTCTCTCACATCGATGTTTCTCTCAGTCTTTCCCTCTCTCTTCCACTCTCTCTAAAAATCAATGGAAAAATATCCTTGGGTGAGGATTAAAAACAAACAAAAAAGGAACCAATCCCATTTAATGTTTTAAGAAACTTAAATAGATCCATCCTTTAACCCAGAGAGTTCATTTTTTAAAATATACCCTAAGAATATAATTCCATGTATAGAGTGTGTGCATAAATATAGTACTAGCAACAGTACTTACAATAGCAAATATATACGTCTACACCCATACATACATAACCATACACATACACACACACACACACCACTAATAACAAAGGCATGATTAAGTAAATTACAAAACAATAGTTATCAAATTTTTACTAGTGAAACTCTTTCTTCAAATAAAATCTTTTACAGAACTATAATATATAAAATAGATAAAAGCAGAATTGGTTAAAGCAAGGGATAGAGCCAGAATTAGAGTCTGCCCTTCCCCTAACCTACCCTTCCACCTGGTACACCCCTGAGACACCCACACCTCTGGGGAACACATAGTGAACCAGCTCAAACATCCAGCAGGTATTAAAAATCTTGCTTGTGATTACCACATAATGTGAAAACATATTTCTGTAATTCTGTCATGAAAAACTGGTTCAATATTTATACTCGCACATAATTAAATAAACTATGTAAATGAATTATATGAATATAATAAAATATATTAACAGCAGCTGGCTTTGGGTGGTGAGTCTTCTTTCTACTGTTCTATATAATCCTCTACATTTTCTGTAATAAACATGTTTCACTTTTATTATGGGGGGGTGGGGGCTTATGTAGACAGAGATCTGAGTTCTGGTACTTAAGAACTTATCCATCAAAGTTGAGTTGGGTGCCCTACCGGCATGGCTCAGTGGTTGAGCGTCAACCTATGTACCAGGAGGTCATAGTTTGATTTCCGGTCAGGGCACATGCCTGGGTTGTGGGATCCATCCCCCCAGTAGGGGCTGTGTAGGAGGCAGCCAATCAACAATTCTCTCCCATCATTGATGTTTTTCTCTCTCTCTCTCTCTCTCTCTCTCTCTCTCTCTCTCTGAAATCATTAAAAATATGTATTTTTTTTTAAGTTGAGTTGGGTCCATTTTGAAGGTTAATGTCATGCTGCATAGGTAAGAGACAGGCACTAAATCTGTATAAGACTAAAAATTAAAACTAACACAAATGTATCCATTCTGAAAGATATCAATGTAACTCACCTTTTCCTTTCCTCCACAGCATTTTCAGTGGGAGTTGCTAACTAAATTTCAAATCAATCTATATACAACATTACTCATCCTAGCAACTGCCTAACAACCTCTGGCAAACTGCGAGTCTGTAAATAGCAACTATACAGAGTGTCTCCTGAAAGAGGCCCAGACGCTATCAGAACAGGGCGGTCCTCCTTCCACCGCTGCTTGGGAACAGAAAGTTCGAGTTGTTACCTGAAAGCACATCAGGGTTCAGTGACTTGTTTCCGTGAAGCAGCTTGGTCCTTTTGAGCTTCACAACTGTGACCTGGGGCAGTAGAAAAATGTAAAGGAGAACACGACAAACAGCCAAACGCACACCGCAGGTACAGGCAACACGCCTCAAGGCGCGGGCCCTCAGGTATTTCCTTTGCTCCGTGCGCGTTGCTTGGAAACGGACCAAGCATAATAAAAAGCTGTGAGCTCAGTATTTCTGTTTGTTTAAAGAAAGGTAGGAACAAAACAGTGTTTCTTAAAGTATAAAGTGAGATTAGAAAATTGGAGGAGAACTGCTTCTTTGTGTAGATTGAGAAGCTGGTCGATGTGGGTCAACTCCAGCGGTTCTGCAGTCTGAGGACCCGTCCGCAGCCACCTTGTCCAGAGGTGGGAGAGGCCGCGGTGCTTCCCAGCCTAAGTGAGAGGCCCCTGACAAAGCCATGGGGGCATCAATACCGTTTTCACCAAAGGCAAGAGAAGAGATACTTAAGGTAATGGACTGTACTGAGTTCTAATAGGATAAAATAGAATTTTTAAATCACATTTAAAAGAAATTTAGATCATTTCTAGTGTATAACACAAAGGCCTATTTAAATGTTTCTCCATTATCACATGTAATGTTACTTATAGAAGGAAGATACGCTCTGCTACAGTTTTATATTTTCTAATCACCAGAGAACTTAGCGATAAAATATCTTACCTGTGTGTACAAAAACACAGTGTCTCTGGGCCCACAAGTTTACAATCCATTCCAGTTGGGGATCGCCAGCTCACGAACAATCTATTCTGTAAGCGCATAGGTAAAACTCTTCTTTTGTATTCTTCGTACTCTTCAGGAGTAAAAAGTTTCCCTCCATCATCCTCACCCACAATTCTACAACAACAAAATAGTTCTCTTCAGCCTTGATTATTTATTTTCCAGGTTATAAATACTATACTCTAAATTAAACTAGCCCTGACCGGTTTTGCCCAGTGGTTAGAGGGTTCACTCTGGAACTGAAGGGTCCAGGGTTTGATTCCAGTCAAGGGTGCGTACCTGGGTTGCAGGCCCCATCCCTGGGGTGAGTGTAGGAGGCAACCAATAGATGTGTCTCCCTCACATCGATGTTTCTCTCTGTCTCTGTCTCTCCCCCTCTCTTCCACTCTCTCTAAAAACCAATATAGCCCTAACCGGTTTGGCTCAGTGGATAGAGCGTCGGCCTGCAGACTTAAGGGTCCCAGGTTCGATTCCGGTCAAGGGCATGTACCTTGGTTGCGGGCACATCCCCAGTGGGGAGTGTGCAGGAGGCAGCTGATCGATGTTTCTCTCTCATCAATGTTTCTAACTCTCTATCCCTCTCCCTTCCTCTCTGTCAAAAATCAATAAAATATATTAAAATAAATAAATAAATAAATAAATATCTAAAAACCAATATAAAAAATATCCTCAGGTGAGGATTAACAAAAAAATAATAATTAACTAATTAAACTATACTTGTACAGTCAAAGGAAATGATACGGCACTGGTTTTTTACTTTAGGTTTATGTCCATCTCAAAATTACACACAATGGTAATAAAGCTTTTGCTTCCCATATAAAAAAGGGTTCTAAATAAGAAAGTCAATGAATTCATGACATCTGACTTTCCTTATGGGAGCTTACTGCCAGAGAACTGCTATATATTCATCTCAATTTCTCCTTTGATTCTGAAGCAACCATGCTCATTCTTCTCATTAAAAGCTGGAGCCTAAACAACTAAAAATTCTAACACGCCCCCCCCCCAAAAAAAGAAAAGTACAAAAAAAAAAATCAGTGAAGAAGACAACATGACTAATGTCCACACCTGAGACCAAACCCTAGCCAGGAGTCCAGTGGGAGACCACAAACACCCTTGGACCTGCATAAGCTCAAAACCAGGTGCATCACTGTTCAATTCCAGAAGACCTCAAAACTGTATGGGAGAAATTAAGTCACCGATATTTCTTAATTTCTTAAGAAACTGAGAGTTGGCCTTTCCAGAGGAAAAGCAACAACAATTAAAAGCATTTCCTCAAAATTGAAGAAATTTCCCCTTGACTTTATGCCCCTCTTAAAAGTCATGAAAAGTGTTGTTTGCAGAATGCTACATAATTTGTTGTACAATCCATACCTTTCCCCATACTTTCAAGTCTTTAGCTTAAGGAAGATAAATAAAACCAATTCAGAAGCTATGGAACCATCACAACCTTCTTCCTCAAATAATTTAGATACACAATAGTAAAAAAGACAAAGGGACATTTTATTCTGAGATCATTTTTTGAGCCATTTCACTTTATTTTAGCTACCAAGAAGTATACCAACAGGTACGGAAAAGAACTTAAAGATCAATTCAGTTCTTTGAAAAAAAAGAGAGCATTTATATCTTAACGTCTAACCCAGGGCAGCTCAAGCTTTATTGTATTACACAATCCTCAAGGGACTCCGTCAAATGCAGATTCAGATTCATGGTCCAGAGGGGACTGAGAGTCTGCATTTCCAACAAGCTCCCAGGGGATTCCTACTCGGCTGGCCCACGGTTGCTACACTTTGAATAGCAGGCTCTAACCTTTAAAGGGGGTTGTTCCAGGTCATTTATGTTTCCAAAAAAATAACTTTCCTCCAGGCCCTAAGATATTCTGGACCAAGCAAGGGACTACAACTGGAGGCTCACAATCTGCATATCTAAACATCTAAATACCTAAGTCATCAGTCAACAACAGGGCCCAGCAACTTGGTCCCAGTGAAAAGCCCTGGAACCTTGGCGGCTAAGGGACCTGTTTCTCCCGGGAGGGGGGGGGGGGGGGGGTGCTGGGTGGGAGCTGTTCTGGGCATAGGGCTCCGGGCATTACCTGGACCCACCTGAACCCAGAATGAGGCCTGGCCCGTCCATCACGTTCCTCACCCTCATTTTGCTGGCTCAGAATTACCAGGCATTTCTAGGCGTTACCCAACACTGTACCACGAGACAGCCAGAGGGAGTGCGGTCAGATCAGAAACCCGTGCGCCCCAACACCCCTGGGTGATTGGGGGCGGCCACCTTCAAGCAGAGCGGCCCCTCTCGCTGTGATTCCTCCGCTTCCCGTTTATGCACACACATCCCCCCACCCTCCAACCCCGCATCCTCCTGCCCGAGACATTCCCACTCACCCAGTTTCCCAACTGCCAAAACCCTGCCTGGGGAGCACAGACTTTGTCAGGGCCCCAGGGGCGGCTGCGTTTCCAGTTTGCGGGGAGGATTATCTCCAGAACCACCGAAACTCCCCTAGCAGCCGGTGTCCTCCCGAAACCAGCACCCCGGGACGGGGAGCACGTTTGCAAGTTCACGGCTTACCCGCCTGTTCATTTTCACCGGCCCCGAGTACTCCAAGCGTAATTCTTCCATGCCCTTTGGGGGGGAAAACCACTGGACCTTTACGTAAATCTAGCGCTCATCGTCCCTCCTGGAAGGGTCGGAGCGGGGACCTCGTAAGCAGCCTCGGAAGAGACTTATTAGCACAGAACTGCGTGTCACTGCGATATTTAATTACAGAACGACGCAACTCGAAATCAATGGAAGCCTCCCCAACAGCCCGCCCGGGAACGGATCCCGCCGCCTCGCCCCGCGGAGGGCCCGCTTCACCTCCGGTACTCCCGGTAGTCGTCCACGGCCGCCGCGCCGCCCGGAGGC